GGAACTGATCCCACTGTGCCTCATTCCATTTGCTCTCCGCCGCCAGAGTGCGGAAATCAATAGAACAGCCCGTAACCGAGCGGTTGCCTTGCTGTAATTCCGCCAACTCCCGGGCCTCCCAACCAGAGACCGCTCAATCAAACACTCTTTAGTTCTTCGGTAAATGACTGGAACGAGAAGCAACAAGGATGATGACTTTCCCATACCGCTGTTCCCCACAGAGCAGCGCGTCCTGATAAAAGGGTAATCATTAACGCCACTTTAGATCGCTCCGTAGGAAACGATGTGGGTTGAAGTGTGAAAAACAAAGAACATTTAGTCACAAACGCTCTACATTGCTGTGGCTCACTGGAATAGGAGGCGGGTGGGGGTAGACTAGGCTCGTCATGATGATCCACTCGCTCAGATGGACGGGGAACAGGCGGTGGTAATGGCACAGTGGGTGCTCCGGCTGCATCCATCTTGAGTTGCCGGAGCTGGGCAGTTACCTTGGACACCTGCGCCACCAAGGATTGCACCGCACGACCCGTTGCCATGATTTGTTCCTCCTGTTGATCCAAACGAGCATGGTTACTGGTTAGAAACTCTCTCCATTCAAATCCACTTGCTGAATCCATCCTGGTCGGATCGTTATGTAAGGATAATTCAGGAAAAGACAAGAGATTCAGTTGCAAGTGTTCAAAGGTTTATTTTCTGAAAACCCAAACCGGTAACAGCATAAAAGAATGACAGGAATGTGAGGGTGCAGAATTCCTCAGCAGCGCAGGGACTACATTGGGCAGATGACAGAACCAGACGACACTCAGAAACAACGGCCTCCACAGAGAAAGCAAGAGATCCTCACAGTAGCAGGTGGTTCCACAAAAGTCTGACGGTCACACCACAGTCAAGTCACCTTTATTTATATAGCGCTTTTAACAATACAGATTGTGTCAAAGCAACTGAACAGCATTAAGAAAATAGTGTCAATAATGCAAAGTGACAATAGTAAACACTCATTATTCAGTTAAAGACAGTTCATCATTGAATTCAGTGATGTTAACATCCAGCTCAGTTTAAATAATATCTTTGCAATTATGTCAACGATATCGCCGGAAATGAAGTGTCCCCAACTAAGCAAGCCAGAGGCGACAGCGGCAAGGAACCAAAACTCCATCGGTGACAGAATGGAGAAAAAACCTTGGGAGAAACCAGGCTCAGTCGGGGGGCCAGTTCTCCTCTGACCAGACGAACCAGCAGTACGGAAAAATCAATTTAAGACGTAATAAAACAGACGATGAATAATATTAACAGCAATTATTATATGATGCAATCAAACTAATAGCAAAATGTGGTAGTTCTGTATGTTGTTTCAGGGTTGGCATCATCTGAGGTCCTCTGAGGGCTTGCATCATCTCTTCTCAGGTGTTCTGGATCCAGACTGAAGCTTGTGTAAATCCTAGTTATTGGACAGACAAAGACAGAAAAGACAGAAACAAATACAAACAATTAGCGTAGCTGCGGTTCCAACTAAGCAAAATTGATTTGTTTAACCCAAACTAAAGAATAATAATGTGCATTTGATTAGATATAACAGTTTCTGTGCTATGGTGGGGCCTGAAGCCTGACTGAAATTCTTCGTAGAGATCTTTTTTTTGCAGGAAGGAGCACAATTGAGCAGACAACTTTCTAAAATTTTAGACATAAAAAGAAGATTTGAGATGGGTCTGCATGATACAAGGAAATGGTCAGTAACATCATCGCTTTGAGGTACGATATCTATATCAGTAAGATCAATTCCATGTGATATAATTAAATCTAGCGTATGATTAAAACGATGAGTGGGCCCGGTGACATTTTGCTTTACTCCAAAAGAGTTTATTAGGTCAGTAAACGCAAGTCCTAATGCATCATTTGTATTATCAACGTGAATATTAAAATCTCTGACAATTAGCGCTTTATCAACAGTAACCAATAGGTCTGAGAGGAAATCTGCTAATTCTTTTAGGAAATCTGTATACGGCCCTGGTGGTCTATACACAGTAGCCAGAGCAAGAGATACGATAGATTTCTTTTGCATATCTGACAGTGTAACATTAAGCATTAGTATTTCGAATGAGTTAAACCTGTATCCTGTCTTCTGAGTAACATTGAGAATATCACTATATATTGTTGCAACACCACCACCAGTCTGACGGGGCTCATGCTTATAATAGTAGCTTGGTGGAGTAGACTCATTTAGACCAATATAATCATTAGGTTTTAGCCAGGTTTCAGTTAAGCAGAGTACATCAAAACGATTATCTGTGATCATTTCATTTACAATAACTGCTTTGGGGGAGAGTGATCTAATGTTTAGGAGCCCAAACTTTAAAAATGGTTGTTCATTTATTTTATTCTGGTTTAATCTATCAGATTTTTTCTAGATCCTGCATTAAATTTATATTTTGACCTCACTATTCGGGGAACAGACACAGTCTTTATAGTTTGTACAGCACAAGTACTTCTATCATTTAAGCGGGTAGAACACAAGTCATCAGGGCAGTTATTTGAGATTTGACTTACTATTCACATGGAGCGCAGCATCCTGGAGATGTTGTCCGACATGAGCTCCGCTCCCACTCTGCTAGGGTGCAGGCCATCAGCGTGAAAAAGCCTAGGACGCTCCCATAAAAGATTCCAGTTATTAACAAAAAGCAGTTTCTGTTCTTTACACCATGACAATAACCATTCATTTAAAGCAATATTAAGCAACTGTATACTTACCTCGGACTTGTGAGCGTCAGCCTGGCATGTTCCCAGCTGAGAGCTCTTCACGCTCTCAGCTGGGACTGCTTTGCCACCAGGTCCCGGATCTGCTTCTCCACGGCCTCCAGCTCGACCTGCACTGAATGCAGCTCGAACGTGTCCTTACCTGCACTCAAAGGTAGACACACATCCGGCATTAAAGCAAGTAACAGTGGTAAAACAATGGTAATGTGTGTGAATAGAGTATTAGTGTAAGTGAGATTAGCGGCAACCACACTGGCAATGCTAGCGGGCTATCCAACAGGAGGCATCCAACAACGCACTGATTCGAGTGCCGCAAACAGGAGACAGGAGTACACTGAACAGAGAACGAGAGTGAGCATACAACGATCCGACAGGCAATGAGCAACAAACAACTCAATATAAAGGGTGCAGCTGATCAACACCAGCTGACCCTGATCGCTAATCAGCGATCATGAGTTGCCTAGCAACGCAGGTGACAGCAACACATGCACATAGACACACACAAAACAAAGGAGGAACCCACAGACCTGCGAACCGTGACATGTTTACATTAAACTTGCGTTACCAAGGCAATGACTGACACATTTGTATTACATTCCAAAGAGTCACAGTCAGTACAGTCTACAGTACTACAATCAGTAATCACATGCTGATGCCCAGTCATACAGATGGTAATAATACAGATTGCAGGCCATACAGCCAATAGTCACACTCTTATGGCCGTTCATATAGGCAGCATTCACATTGATAGCTGGTCATACAGTCAGTAATCACACGCTGATGTGCAGTCATACAGATGGTAATTATGCAGATACAGCCACATTACCCACAATACAAACACACACGTATATGAAAAATGTTGAATAGGGAAAAAAAAAGAATTATTTGTGCAAAAAGTCGATCGCTAAGATACGCCCCCATCAGATGACAGGTGTGTCACAGCGTGCATCACAAGCCGTCACAAGAGCGCGCCAGAATTCAAATAAACAAGATCTATTGTCGATGCTTGAGGCTTAGACCTTTAGAATGATATATAGTTTGTCAAGATGAATTATGTCCCTTTTCATTTAATCTCTTCGTAAACATTGACACGTGCAAACAAAGAGCGTTCAGTGCGCCGGCGTCCAGGTGCGGGTTAACATGTTAAAGCACATGCCAGAAAAGACATTAGATAAAATGAGGAGATTTATTTTATTTATTTATATATATATATATATTTTTTTTTTTGCATGCCAGATAACTCTATATCGGTGAAAGAAAAATAAGATGAAGATGGAAAAAAGGTCAGTTTGAGTAGATCAAGTAATGAAACAGGATTGTCTGTATTAATGAGAGCATTTACAGTAAGTGTAGCACAAATCACACAGGATTATAACAGTCCATAGATTTTGTCAGTGAATGAAAAGACAGAAGGAGAGAGAAAGAGAGACAGCTCCTCTTGTTTGTCAGCTGCTCAGGATGTGAAAATGCACAGCTGGCTCACTTTATAAGGACTAGAGTATGTGTCAGTGCGCCTTTTCAGTCTTTACACAGTCACTAGTAGAAAACAACACAGTATTGTTGGTGCCAAATGATGACAAACTCATGGACTAATTAAACAGAGCTCTCTGTATGTGTATGTGTGTCTGTGTGTGTGTGTGTGTAAGTGTGTGTGAGGCCTCTGTGATAAGTTCACTCCTGCATGTAGATCTTGTTCATTATTTTATTTTATAGGTATATTAAGTTGTTTTTTTATTATTATTTATTATTCCTCTTCCCTATACATGCCTGCACCATACCCTGACATTTTTTTTGTAGTGGTGTCCAAATACATGGTTCACTGTATAATTGTTAACCCTTTTATATCCATTATGTAATGTGATTTATAATGCAGGTCTGATGCATACTTGCTGATGCTGTGTATCATTAATGGAGAGAAGACCGCTGACATGACTAAATATGTGCACTGCAGCTTCCTTTATTCCATCAATCCATTTTAAGACTTTTTTAAAATCAATGTTTATATAAACAGAAGGAACTAAACTTATACAGAGAAACCGAATTTTAGCTTGATTTTTCTTTATTGACTAATATTCATTCATTAAATTATCAAATTAACATAATTAACTTATGAATATTTGATTAAAATATTTAGTTTGACATTGATGATTTCATTACTGCATTTGGAACAGATGAGATTCATAGATCTGATGGCAGTTGTAATTTAAAGTAATTTTTTCTTATGTACCACCTGAACCAAAAAAAAGTCACAATGTTTTTTCTATTGTACAAACTGTATTTTCTATCCCCAGCACCCTAACCCTACACCTAAACCTTCCTCTCACACAAAACTACAGGCATTTTTACATTCTCAAAACTATTCCCTACAAGGTCAAAATTACTGGTATTACTATATTTGTGAGTATATTTGGTCCTCATAATGTAGAAAATACCAGTCACATGCGCGCACACACACACACACACACACAGAGTCTCAAACCTTCACTATTGACTATCCTGACCTTTGACATTTCAAATGTTCTGAAAAAAAGACTATCTTTGTCAGAATACATGTTGTATATCGAATGTCTCTCTGTAGATAAATATGCTTATTGCTGCCAGATGGGTTAGTTTACAACATCTACCAGCAGCTGCATGCAGGCCAACTAAACCTGGACCCATTGGCTAATATGGTAACTGTCTACTTAAGACGTTTTGAGTACAAAATAATATTGAATACCTGGAGACTCTTTAAAATCAAATATTTGTTGCCATGTATAATTCTATGAAGAAGAAAAAAACATTTGTCCATGGAACCCTGATCCATTGCGCATAGGCTTCTTTTTAGAGGCCAATTTAAACTACTGGTTTTCACACAAGGGGAAAAAAGATGCTTAAATGTCAAAATCTGTTACTGAAAGCTTTCATAGAGGAACCCAGTTATTTCTTCTGTATGGCATAGCTGAAAATGGAGAGAGTTAGACCGTTTTTCTTTAAACTGAAAGCAATGACAAACAGCTAATCATTATTTTTTCATAACTGAGGTCAGATTGTTGATGCCTGGTACTGTGTGGATGAATTCATGTTCATTTAGTTATATATAGGTGGTGAGACTTGAAATTAGGAGATGGCATAAGAGCTGATGTCATCACATTGAGGTCTTCTCATGGCTACACAGTGCCCTCTTTTGATCTACAATATGATCTTCTGGTCCAATGAGTGATATAAGTCAGCACAGCCTGACAGAGACAACATTACAGGGAATACAGTGGACTATTACAGGTGCATCTCAATAAATTAGAATGTCGTGGAAAAGTTCATTTATTTCAGTAATTCAACTCAAATTGTGAAACTCGTGTATTAAATAAATTCAATGCACACAGATTTAAGTAGTTTAAGTCTTTGGTTCTATTAACCCTCTGGGGTCCGAGAGTGTTTTGGGCCCTGGAGAAGTTTTGACAGGTCAGGAAATTTGTGCTTTTTTCAGTTACTAATAAACATTTTAATGGCTACGTTTAGTAGTACCATAATCAGCACAAACTGGGCTACAAAAATATGTGAGCAGCATGTATATACGTGATTGTGTTTTTGAGAAAACAACGTTTAATCGTGCTTAGTGAAAAACTAAAATTTTAAAGTCACTGAAATAAGGCCATAAAACACATACAGAACATTTGTTCACAAGAGTATTGACTTCAACTGGATCTTGAAGTCTAGAGTTTTTGGTTCAGAATGATGTGAAAATCATCTTGTTTACTCACAGAAAACAATATATTGATTTACATTTTCTAAGACACATTTTGTGTAGAAAAGGAATATGTGAAGGGGCGTGACTGGTCATGGATAATGATGTGATTCACACCTGAGAAGACAAAGGCCTGCATAATGAGCTGCATAATGAGCCATTCAGTCAGGTGTGTGACTGAGGGAATTGCTACAAGAAAGAATGAGGAAAAATAAATGCATCTATTTTTTGTTTGTAGTTTATTTAGAATATATAACTATCACATAATTTTGGGAGAGTGTGCATCACATGGTCTTAGCTGTGGTCCAGGTTCCTCTGCAGGCAGGAATCTCAGAGCCTGTGGAACATGTCAACATCAGTCTCTGGTTTCCATGACTGAGTGTGCTGCTTATTTGCTTTAGCTGTCTTTGCCCTGTTATTCTCACATCTGCAATAAAAATGCAAGCATGCTGTTTACACAAATTACATTATTAACATTACTGTGATGTTCACTGATACTAGTACTAATTTATCGAAACAAAGAACTCAATTACCAGATAGCAAACATATTTGACCATGCAGTAACTAAATCAAATGAAAGTAACATCTGTAAAATGGTGAATGCACACTTACTCTAAGATTCTGAACGGAATTGAAAACATTTGTTGGCGAATGCAGGCGAATGCAACAGTGGTGTATTCCCCATAGTTCCTTAGTATAGTATGCATACTTCATGAGAAAACAGAATGCCAATTCTTACATTTTAACACTATCAACTACAAATAATATTACCACATATTCTAGGAATAATTCAATTACAATTACTATACTGTGCACTTACTCGGTAGGATTTTCCAGCGAACTCAAAACTGAACGACATGCGTGTGCCTTTCTTGTGCAAGATGCCGGTGATGCATCCAAAGTCCCAAACGAAAATTAAAACTGTTTCAAACATTTCAGCGTCAATACTCCATAAGACACGGGTATAACGAGATAATCCAAAGCTTCTTCAGGTGAATTCTGTCTTATTCCTCTCAGCGCGACGCGAACAGTAAAATTAAAAAAACTTGAGGTCTTGCTGCTTTGTTTGCTGTGATGTGGGCGTTTACACGCGGGGGTGCTTCACGTGGATTATTATAATATCTATAGCGCGCTCAGTGCGTGGGCGCATTAGAGATAATGAAGGGAGACGTGAAAGACTGGACATCGCATTGGTTTCATATGGATTACTTTATCACACAATATTTGCTTTCGATAAGACTTGCTTAGTTTAAAAGTAGACATGTCAAGCTTTCTATAGATATATCTCTCATGTCTCTTTGTTGAGTATTTGCTGAGTTACAGTTCATTTTATGGATGCGTTTCTAAATAAAGATCACGCAGACCAAGGCAGCAGACAGAGCACCCTGTTTGTTTTCTTTATTTTATAAATGCACAAAGTTTTGTTGTTATTATGTGTGTATACAAATAAAAGTAGACCATTTACAGATTCGATTGATATATTGCTCTTATCTGTAAGATAAGAACTGAAAGTGTAATTTAAGTTGTTTTCGGTGTTATCAGGAGAATATGCCACAAAATGCGTATCCGCGTTAGTCGACCTCCAAGGGTTAATTGAGATGATTTTGGCTCACATTTAACATAAACCCACCAATTCACTATCTCAACAAATTAGAAGACTTCATAAGACCAATAAAACAAACATTTTTAGTGAATTGTTGGCCTTCTGGAAAGTATGTTCATTTACTGTACTCAATACTTGGTAGGGGCTCCTTTTGCTTTAATTACTGCCTCAATTCGGCATGGCATGGAGGTAATCAGTTTGTGGCACTGCTGAGGGGGTATGGAAGCCCAGGTTTCTTTGACAGTGGCCTTCAGCTCATCTGCATTTGTTGGTCTCTTGTTTCTCATTTTCCTCTTGACAAGATTCTCTATGGGGTTCAGGTCTGGTGAGTTTGCTGGCCAGTCAAGCACACCAACACCATGCTCATTTAACCAACTTTTGGTGCTTTTGGCAGTGTGGGCAGGTGCCAAATCCTGCTGGAAAATGAAATCAGCATCTTCAAAAAGCTGGTCAGCAGAAGGAAGCATGAAGTGCTCCAAAATTTCTTGGTAAACGGGTGCAGTGACATTGGTTTTCAAAAAACACAATGGACCAACACCAGCAGATGACATTGCACCCCAAATCATCACAGACTGTGGAAACTTAACACTGGACTTCAAGCAACTTGGGCTATGAGCTTCTCCACCCTTCCTCCAGACTCTAGGACCTTGGTTTCCAAATGAAATACAAAACTTGCTCTCATCTGAAAAGAGGACTTTGGATCACTGGGCAACAGTCTAGTTCTTCTTCTCCTTAGCCCAGGTACTACGTCTCTGACATTGACTGTGGTTCAGGAGTGGCTTAACAAGAGGAATACGACAACTGTAGCCAAATTCCTTGACACATCTGTGTGTGGTGGCTCTTGATGCCTTGACCCCAGCCTCAGTCCATTCCTTGTGAAGTTCACTCAAATTCTTGAATCGATTTTGCTTGACAATCCTCTTAAGGCTGCGGTTCTCTCGGTTGGTGGTGCATCTTTTTCTTTCACACTTTTTCCTTCCTCTCAACTTTGTTAACATGCTTGGATACAGCACTCTGTGAACAGCCGGCTTCTTTTGCAATGAATGTTTGTGGCTTGCCCTCCTTGTGAAGGTTGTCAAAGATTGTCTTCTGGACAACTGTTAGATCAGCAGTCTTCCCCATGATTGTGTAGCCTAGTGAAACAAACCGAGAGACCATTTTGAAGGCTCAGGATACCTTTGCAGGTGTTTTGAGTTGATTAGCTGATTGGCATGTCAGAATATTGTAATTTGTTGTGATAGTGAATTGGTCTGTTTTTGTTAAATGTCAGCCAAAATCATCACAATTAAAAGAACCAAAGACTTAAACTACTTCAGTCTGTGCGCATTGAATTTATTTAATACACAAGTTTCACAATTTGAGTTGAATTGCTGAAATAAATGAACTTTTCCACGACATTCTAATTTATTGAGATGCACCTGTATTAGCTAGAAAGAGACACTGCACTTCATGTACTCTAGTGAACTTCCCAGGGCCGCCACATACACATCTCTGTGAAGTACACGAGACCATAGGATGTTCCGTTTGTAATGTTTGGTTTCAGAAGTGTGCTCACAAGAGCCCTCTTTGAGGCCCCTATGTGCACTTCTGCCCAAGCCACACCGATGTGCACACTGCAGCATGACTTCTGCCTGACAGTCAAAATGGCTTTACTTGACTCGGAGGAAGACCGCAAGGGTTGAGCGTGCCATTTCAGACAGGGAAGTTGATGGAGAAATTTACAGTATTACTCACAAACTGCAATTTCTCTCAGTGGCATGCACAGAGTGCCGGAGGGGCAGGGTAGGAATCATGCTCTGGGCTCGACTCAGTACAGATCAATCACACTAGACAGACAAGCTGGACATTGGGGGTCACACTTGCTATGGCACGGTTCAGATCATCTGGTGTCAGTACATCCAAAAACAGTCTTCCTTCTTCAGGCATTCCAAGCCTAAGCCTTTAGTCGAGTGCGGCAAGCTAGGCTTGTGACTGAATCACCATAAGCATGCTGTGTCCTGTCATTTTTTTCTAAAGGAGAAAGTAGACAAGAGTAAAGTTAGAAGAGACTCAGTAAATTAATCTGGAACCATGTTAAAATTGATTATTTAGTTATTCTCCTATTTAGATTTGTAAGTCAAAATGGACATTTATAAACCTAGAATGAACAGGAGTGAAATCGGCTAGTCATCATCACCAAAGATGCACAGAATACATGCTGTCAGAATACAAGTCTGAGAGCACAGACTTGGCTAGGACAATTACCCCATTAGCAATACTGGTAAAATGTGAGATGCAACATTCTTTTTTTTCAGTTAAATTTTGTGGAATATGTTGGGTGCGGTGGTGGATATTTAATCCAATATTGTCAATGTAGCTTTTATGGTAATAGTTCTGTCAGGACTACTACGGTCAGAGATAATTGACAATTAGCATAAGTTTGGTTTGGGGTATGATTCTGTTCTGGGCAAGAACTCCCCTCCCAGCCTTGCTATAAACCACCCTGAACAAAACCAAAGCAATATTAATGGTATCCATAATTCATTATGTGAAGGGCAGATGTAGTACTGTGGCTGGGTGTGCGTTGTATTCATCAGATTTCAGACTTTTCAGATAAAAGCTATGAATAAATAATGTAAATTGTTTTAAATGTATGACGTAAGGTAGTAGCTATTAAAGTCAATTCATGTGTATGTATGTATGCATGCATGTATGTATGTTACAGTGAAAGCAGAACGTTCAATCAGCACAGAGATTAAATTGACTGGAACTACCAGGGGTTCATAAGGTCGGAATACATGCATTCCAGCTAATCAGAATCAACGTTTCCACGTGTCCCTTCAGTTAAATGTGTGTAATGAGCAAAGCAAACGTCAAATTAAACCAAATGTCTTGTGTTGTGACTACAGGGGTATCAGTACTGTTATCATAAGTACTGTTATCTGTTTTCATAAAACAGTGTCATACTACGCACATCTGTGATGGATTTTCCTGGATTCAGTTTTGATTCTTTTTTTTTTTGACAAAGCCATTGTCAGCATTATGCTAGACACACAAACAGCTTACCAAAGTATCAGAGTCCTCTGTCAAACAATATAATTTTCAGGTGAATCAACAATGGGTCTTCAGATTTTTTAAATGTGGTTCTGGAAATTTTTTTTTTGACCCAGTAAGAAATATGAATTCCAGTTACATGAATTGACAGAGTGTCTGGAACAGTGGGGATTGAATTGGACCTCAATCTCTTTACTGATGGACTAACAGGGAGAGCTTGTGGAAGCTGAATGATTGCAAGGATGCTCTCAAAGAAACTGGACAAAGTAGTAGATGTTCGAAGAGACATTTCACCTGAATATGAACATTCAAAGGTGTGTGGAGGGCTTCTTCAGAGAATCACCCAAATGGGCAGGAATTTTCCACATCACAGATGTAATGTGTACGTTTTTAATGTTACTGGAAGTGTGTTCTTGTAGGTTTTTTTTTTTAGTTTTTTTCAAAAATCAGCATTGTTATATTTTTGTTTCTGATGGATATTTGGGTAGCACTTTATTTTACATTCCTGTTCCGCATGCATATGCAATGTACTTATTATTTTACTTACAATAACTGGCCAATAGCCCTGAACCTAACCTTAACCCATCTACTTAACTTGTACTACCCAGTACTCTCTTAGATAAGTACACTAATTACATGTAAGGGCATGTACTGTAAAATAAAGTACAACTGAAACAGAGAAAGATGAGACATTTTACAGATTACAGGGAACGGATGGGTGAATAAAGGATTCAGTTCTGTAGGTTATTGTCAATCATCTAGTTGCAGATCAAACTAGCAAACATGGCACTTGTAACCGCCGATCTTTTCTATAACCATTTTTGAATCACGGTTACTAGAATCTCTCTTTTTTTTTTTTTTTTTTACAATAAAAGCATTGTAATTCACTGTTCATTAAGAGTCCATTTAATTTCTCTTCTATGTGATCTTGCCTAGAACATTCTCATTTAAATCATATCAATCCCATCAACAGTTAACTGACTCAAGCAGAATAACACAGTATTCAGTAGAGCTGGGTTGGTACTGGGATCACTGCCTCCCAGTCCCAGGGCCCAAAGAAGCCCCCTGCCCAAATCAGCTTGGGCTCGAAGCCCAGAGAGAAGACAGCAGCCGAAGCCCCCATCCTCTTCCCACTGATTTAGCTAAGCCCACTAAAGCTGTGGGTCGGGGGTCAAACTGGCGGATGTGCCTTTCTGCACATCAAGCTTCTACCAGCCCTCACCCCTAAGAGTTATTTGCAATAATCAGACCGACAACATCCTTACCAAGGAAAACCGCTGACTGCAATAACTCCTGGGTTAAATACGTCAAAAATATGCGCAAAAAGCCATTATTTGGTACACTTGTTTCATCCATGGTGAGTGACTTGTCGCCTCCCATAATCCTCTGCTCTTCCTGGTTTTTTCAAAGGCAAAATGTC